AATTAAGTACAAATGGTAATTATATAAGAACGATTGATTTGAAATAAGAACATAAACATGATTGAACATCAGATCTATGCAGAATAGATATATTCAGGTAGCAGTGTGATCCTGCCTATAATAATAATACATGTAACCGGCTATTGCCTAATAGACAAACATACACATTATCATTAATTCCTAACTAACAATTCCTGCCAAGTGAAAAAAAAAACTATCAAGCTCCCATCTATTGTGCAATTCAACAGCCACAACAAGAAATTCTTGAAAACAATTTTTTGACGACCACGAACAGCTACCAGAAAATTATGTCAGAAGTCTGACAATATTATCAAAGAAAATTAAACAGTTAAAGCGTGCAGATAGCGATACATCCTTAACAGATAGCCTTATTATATATAGGAAACAAAGCCTAATACAGAGAAACATTATAGGAAAGATTTAGAAGATTTAAGAATGTAATTGAAAGTTAACATAAAGACATTGAATAATTAACAATCTCTTCCCACATAGTGGTTCAAAATAATACCGGAATGTGGGTGGGGGTTTAGGCTCAAAACTCTATATTCTATACGCCATTGTTACGAGATAAGAAGTCTCGTAATAACAAATCTAGCGTAACACAAAGAGAACACAACACTGCAGAGATATAAAAAATCTGACATATTAGCGACATATTATGCAAACAGTTTTAGAATAACACAGTAAAGTTATAGTCTAAAAGAAATCTCACATACATCTTATTATGATAGCTTTAAATTATTCCAACGAAGCTATAAACTGTAAGAAGTCTGACATACAGATTCGTCCTTAATCCCAATCTAACAGAATATCATAATAACAAGTAATTAAAAAAATTTTCAAGTAAAACTTACAAATCAAGCTAGTCAAAACATTAACTAATTACTAGCTAATGGTTAGTAAAACAAATGAAAAAGTAAATAAAATGCGAAAGTGTTAGCTAACAGCACTAATAATACGAAAGTACAAACTATTGTCTCACACAAATTACTGTGAGATCTTCCATGTGTATACAATCTATATTAAAATATATATTAAGTAATACTATTTCCTTACATATCGAACCATTATAAATTCATATTGTTAGAATCTAACAGAATATGAAAAATTAACAAAATAATTTAATTAACAATATAATTAAGTCAACAAAATAATTAATTCAACCAAATCTATTAAAACTTTTTTTATTTTTCTCATTACAGACCTTGCAATCACTACAAAGTGCCGCCAAACGTGCGGGGACCTCATGTGCGAACTGCAAAACCACAACGACAACCCTTTGGCGGCGGAATGCCAGCGGTGAACCAGTGTGCAATGCCTGTGGGCTCTACTATAAATTACACAATGTAAGTAAACTGAAAACAAATTTTGTTAAAAATATAAAAAAATAGCACAAAAGCAACACTGGACTTAGTAGTAGTTAAATCGTAAGCACACATAAGCGGTCAAACTAATCGTTTCTTGTACACAATCCATGAAGACTACTTTTGGGCAAATTTAAGTACTTCCGTTAACATAAACTTCCGTAGTGTATAAATTATATATAACGTCGTGAGCATAAAATACAATATTTCCCTAAAGTAAAATCGAAGTAAGAAGCCAATATGGGAATTATCAACGCGGACAAAAGTCATAAAACGGCGGATATATTAGCATGTTAATCCTGTCAGAAAGTTTCATACTGGAAATATTTTTCTAATTTATCTATTTTTGTTTTTCCTCTTTGTACTAAACCAATGAGTTCATAGGCTTGAAATTGTACAAATTTCCCGTATCACACCCTGTATACGCTTTGTTTAACTAAAGCCAAGTACACAGCATGTTGCCACATAAATCCGCGTATTGATGATAGTTTAATGATATTATGTTTTAAATCATTTGAAACAACAACTAGAAAAACATTAGTGGTAACAACAACAACAACAACAAGACCAGGAGGACTTAAAATATTTGTAAGCAAAAAAATAGCAACAACAAATCACAGCTCTTAACCCTCGTTAAGTGCTTAAGCGATTTCACACACCATTTACCACGGGCGCAATCGAGTTCAGTCGAGCGCTGCTCAATGAATATCTGAAAACGTTCGGGATTTCCCACATACAATTGAAAATATATTCAAAAGTTGTTTTGTTTTTTTTTTTTTTTCATCCAAATACAAAGATCTGTATTTATTTTTGAGATATAAATTACAAAATATATACATATATCGATGTATATCTGTACGCTTTACGCTCCCCTCTTAAGCTAATAAAGCACGGCGAACTATCACAACTAAACAAACGCAAACGTCCTTAGCTCAGGAAACCGTGTGTAGGGTGGCGGAAATGAAACCAGATTAAAAATGACACTACAAAAGGGAATCACGGCAATATAAAAGCCAGAATAGCAACAACCACTACAACGGGACGCTGTGGCTGAAAATTCAGACACCAGCGTTCAGCGTTCAACGTTCAACGTTCAAATAGAAATTTTTGGGTGGCAAGTAATTCGTTATAACTGCCAACATAACGTTTGATGAATTGTTGATGATTATTTAAAGATGCTGTATCTGCCGTGATATACCCTGCTATTAATATTATTATTGCCATTGCTATTGCAGTTGCCGTTGGTGTTGGTGTTGTTGTTGTTGTTGTTGGTGTTATTGTTTTCTGGTGCTAACTGTTGGCAGCGATTAGATAAGCGATATGCGTACATTGGCTACCGCCTGTAAAAATGCGATAAGCCTAACTCACTTAATAAACTCGTCGTATAAATATAATTTTTATATGCTTGAAGTTTGTTAGTGAACCAACCAGTAAGAAGAGTTACCCCCTCTTCGTCTTCTTCTAGTTGCAATCGGTGTAATTTATGTTATAAACTTAACTTAAACGTTTTGGGCACACTACTCAAGATCTATGAGAGACCCTCTCAAGATTGGTATGCATAATTTCATGCCGCTTCACTGATGCGGAAGGTGAATTTCATTTAAAGCAAAAAAAGAATTGATATCCAAAATTTGAAGGAAAAATTATTATAGTACCAAAGTGTAACGCGCTCAGTGCGTAGGAAATTACACCAGAAATATAAGGACCGAATTCGTTTAAGGTGGACTGGGATATTTAATGTGACTTTATAGAAATACGTAAGTGTGCCGCCGGCCGCCGGTACGTTAAAATTATGCATTTTTGAAAAAAAATACAGAAAAGGGAATATATATATATAGTGTATCCATGTATAAAACAATTTATACACATTAAATATTCATTAGCTGAGAAAAAATCAGGAAGCGGGGTGTAGCAAGTGTTGGGCGTAACATTTTCGTGGGTGAATGTTAGAAAGCGAATTCTCTAATATATCGTAAAGTAAAACAAAGCATAAGACAGAAAAAAGTTTTTAGAACTCTACGAAAAGAAAAAAAAAATCTTAAGTATTTGAGTATAGAAAAAAACACCAGTAAAAATTTAATACATATTTTTTTTTTATTTTTGGAGCCTTTTTCATTATTCGCTTTAACAAAAAAATGTCCTTTTTCAGACATCATTTTTGAAGTTCCAAAACCAGGAAAAAATTTTGTAGTTAATTTTAATGACTTTGTTAAGAAAAGTTTTAGAATATTTTAAATATACTTTTTCTACTTTCATTTACAAGTCAGTGCATTTATGTTTATCTTAAATAACCCTTGGGTTATTTGAAATAAATAGAAATTTCTTTTTGTGAGTAGCACTAAAAAGAATTGATAAATAAATTCTATTAATTTAGTGATTGATTTAAAAAATACACATTTAATTTTTTAATAAAACTATATACATCGCGTTATCAAATCTCAAAATAGTTACAGGCTGCTCGGGGATGTATGCAGATCTGAGATCAATTATTGCTTAATCTGATGAAGTGATAAACAATAATCTAGTCAAGATGTAAAGAAAGGTTTTGAAAATACCTCGAGTTAAAAAAGAGTATAAGTGCTTAAGTGCACTAGCTCAAAACAGCTTCAACATATTATATACTACTATATAATATACTAAAAAAGTCATATAATACATAAATATATTTTATCTATAACTATACATATACAATATAATATATACTATGAAAGATATTAATGTACGTCTCAAGCGTTTAGAAGTTTGTCTATAGCAGGGCTGTCTAAAGCACGGCCCACGGGCGTCATGCGGCCCGCGGCTTATATATATGCGACCCGCGACATTTTTCTAATCTACCACAATTAGGCACATTTTTCTTTGTTATATTTTGAATATATCACATTATTTTATGTTCATTATATCCCAAATAAATAAATAAATAATTTATTACACTTCTCGTTAATTTACTTAATTAGTGAAAATTTTAGTACATATTTCTTTGTACAACTGGTAAAAAAAAATCGTATCTAACCGTAAGTCATTATATTAAAAATAAAATATTTTTCTTATAGGAATAAATGAACATATGTATTTATTTCTGCGGCTCTCTAACCTATTCAGTGATTTGTATTAGCCCGCGACCTTCCTGTTCTGGACAGCCCTGTCTATAGAATACGTTAGACCAAGTGGGTAGGTCCTTTAGTGAAACTTTGATTCGCGAAAAATTTTGCAAAAAATTTTTCAAATACAAAAAGTTGTTCATTACCTAAGAAGTTCAGAAACTGATTATATATCTTTTAAAGAAATCAGTGTGTCTTCTATACTATACAAGAAAGTATAATTTTCTAATTAAAATAAAATTGTATATAAAGTGTTTTCCACTTATAATTCATACAGTACACAATGGTACTGATAATCATACTCTGCTCTTAATTGCTACGCGTCGGTAATATGATAATATCAAGCAAATTTAAATGAATAACTCGGAGTACTTGTCCGAGTTTTACAAAAGCAAAAATATTTGTTTGGAAAAAATATAAAAAAAAAATACCAACTAGCAAATAATATTAAAAACAAATTTTCATTGGAAATGCAATATTAAATAATTAAGAAATTTGCTGTTGTTGCAGTAACCACAAATGCCACAAATGATAAGCATCAGATGCTGCAAAACTGAGACTAAAAATCCGACTGTGTCATAGATGAATGCTGACTGCTGACTATTAACTCTGCCTGGCTGCTGTCTGTGCGCTGGTGTTGTTGCTGTTGCCGTTGCTTTGGCATGTGCCGCAAATGTGCAATTTTTCAAATGAATTTTATTTCATTTATTAATTGAGCATTTAAAAATTTTACATTTTCCAAAACTCGAACACATTTTAAATCAATTTTATTCAAACATAAAAAAAAAATGAATAGATAAAATGGAAAAAATTTGTAAGAAAATTGATTTGCAAAACTGCATGCATATGCCTTGTACTCGTAATGATGCCCCAGTGTATGGGCAGTTATCCATCCATCCATCCGTATACTGTTTGAATTTTTAATAGTTTTGAATATAGTCACACATATTGATGTGTATGTGTGTGTGACTGCAGTATACAAACAAAATTGAAATAAACTAGATACAAAAATATAGTCTATGACTTAAAAAAAAATGAAAAAAATAAAAAAGAAAATATTTTAATTTTTTTTTCAATTGGGCACTGTCCAATCTTGATAAGATGCCAATCACTGTGCACCCAGCGTGTTTTATTTGTATTTTTCTAAGTTCAATTATGTGTTGATGTGTATTTGGTGCTGTTTCTGTTAACTTATTTTAAATAACAGCGCTGCTTTGCTACGACGTCACCTCTGCATTTTGGCTAGCTTACAATTTATTCGCTGTTCTGTTCAGTGAAGTTCAGCGCTTATACATATTCGCCAAATAAAACTTATTCGCTGCTATGCTGCTTATGTTATGTGCATACTTTTGCTTAGCATATTGTGCTACTTACGTGCAGCTTTGCTGTCAACAACATAAGCTAACGTGTGATGATAGCATAGTACTGCTGTTGCTGCTGCTGTTGCTGCTAGCGTCTGCGTCGTTAGTTCGTCTATGAAAATTGTCGTGTGTGTGGGCTTTTTCGCTTAGCATGCATGCAATCTGATTGGCGATTTATGGAAATTTCTTACTCTTTTCCCACTGCGTGTACTGTGCAGTGCAGTGCAGTGCGGTGCGCTTATTTGTAAATATGTGAACGTTATAATTTTGTTGTTGTGAAATGAATTTTAAATTGCAAATGCGAATAGTAAAAATGTGACATGAGTTTAGAAGAAAGCGCAAGGAGGGTGTTAAGGTGCAAGACATGATAAATTTTTTAATGATGGATTATATGAATTTTTGTTAATTTTTTTTTTTTTTGTGATTTGAAACTAAATTAAAAATTAATTTTTATGCAATACAAATTGCTGGGAATTTTTTAAAAATAGTTTATATTATATATTTTTCTTTTTCTTATTAACTA